TCAGTAATTACCTAAGTAATCTCAGTTTTCTTTTTCGACTTTAACAAGGCAATTTTGCAAAATGCGCGTCAATTCAATTGTCTGTTACTACAGTTAGAAAATTTCAAAAAAGAAAATTGCAATGAAATAAAAATCATCCCTAACTTGATTAACAGTAAGACGAACTAAATTAGCAGGGAAATAAATGAGCAGGGTTTTTTTATCTTTGCATGAATTTCGTTAATTTTCAGTGCATTTCCATCGTTTGTTTTTTACATCTTTTTGAATGTTTTTGTATTTTTTTATGCCAAGAAATAATTCTTTTCTTGTTTATTTTTAAAAATCTGCGTATTTTATTCAAAAGAACTTTTTTTTATCAACACCAAATGCAATAAAATAATTTCGCGACAATCATTGAAAAAATTTATAAATAAATAAATTAACAAAGGAGATTTTAAACAAAAAAAATATAGATAATGAAGGTACAAAAGTTAAATCTACTATTTTTAAAGTTAAAAAAGCACATTTGCAATGTATGTATAAAAATCACCACCATTTTCACTACTGATACGATCAGCCTTTCATTCTAATGAAGTATCATGCTCAAGCCTTCATCTTCACCTTCCGTAAGTTTGAAAACAATATTTATATGAATTTGTTGAAAACCTGATGAATAACCAAACTGTGGCTGTTATCAACTGGTTCAAAAATATAACCGAAATATGAACCGAAATGTTATAAACACTAGCAGAAACAAAAATTCATATTCAGAACAGAACAGATATGCTTAAATTGTATTCATATTTTGTATCAGAAAACGGATTATATTGCTACCCATTGGTCAAATACTTATCCGAATACTTCCCGAAAAAAATTTTCATCGCATGACCCACTTCATAAAATTTGCATCAAAAATATTCAAGGCTAAGCTAATGATTAAAGAAGTTTGACCGAGTAATATGGTAGCTTCGATTCGTGTCGAGCATAATAGGTTCGAGCATTATATTATATATATATATATATATAGTAATAATTCAAAGTGAAATGAATAATCAATAAGATAGAATATTTAAAGGTAATATTCATAAATGAAAAAATCGGAGAAATTTCGCTACCAATCTTTCGATTGCCAGCTGCGGAAAAGGTGATTGAAACTGCTACCATTCTCGGAGCAAAGCACCCACTCTATTCTAAAAATTTAATGGCAATCGAAAGGTTGATGAATAGCTCGAGAATTGATCTCAGCTGGCTAACTTTGACTTCAAATCGCCCAATCATTGCAGAATGTATTGCGTAATTCATTTTGTGAATAAAAATTTTTATAATATGCAAAAAAATTTTAATTTTGAATTGTTTTGTTTTCCAACTCATTCATTATAGAATATATTGAAAAATTTCAGTAATTTCAAATTTCGGATTTTAGAATACGAATATGTGGCGATTTCTTTTTGATGGAATCTCTATATCTGGTTTGGCTGGCTCCATGGTTATTAGGATGACATCCTTTCTCCAAAGAGTCACTTGAATATGGTCGCAAGCATCACCTAAGAATCCCAGTTTATGATAGAAATTATCAGATTAAATCCAGGATAAAAATTTACTGTCAGATGTCAATCATTTGCGATATAAAACTTTCACAGCCTAATATTTTCTGAAAAAAATCACTCGCTTTTTTTTGCGGCCATTTTTGAATGATTTGTCTGAAGTATTTCTGGTCGCTGTTCTTCGTCTACTCATAGTTTTTCCATTTGGTTTTGCAAATAAAGCAAGCTGAATAGCATTACGTGTAACCATTTGCAAGACCATTGCAATACTTGTTGAAAACCTATTCGCCTTTAAAAAATTTTGAATTTATTAAGATTAAAAACGGTTTTAAACTAATGCTAACTAAAAATTATCGCTTATTCGAAATAACCATTGAATCCACATCCTACTATTAATTGTGTTTAAAACGAAATTGGATTTATTAAGGATAAGAGGAATTAAACAAGATTTTATTCACAAATGTGGGATACTGTCTGGTTTTATCAAACCTGGGTGGGATATTCTATCTCATTATAAATTTGAATATTGCTAGAGATATTGGACTGAAAATTCGATAACTGAATTGTGAGAGTTGAATGATGCTGAATAATTTTTTCATTCATAGCTTTAATTACTGGAATAAATTACCCATAACTTTTGCGCCACCAGTTTCTAATTTATGAACTAAAAAATGAACTAAATAGAATTATACATATTATTTAGCAAAAAAAATCTTCAATCCATTATGACTATTAGTGCAATAATTTTTTTTATCAACATTGTGTTGATATTTTGTCACTGTTATTAACGAAAGCGCGAGACTATTGTTCTTCTATTGGTCTTAAACTAAATGACCTCGTAAAATAATTTTTTGAAAATAAATAACCTTTCGTTTATCAATTCCAAGAAAATTTTTAATGATATCTCGATACTTTGAGCTGAACAAAACGTAAATAATGATTGACGTTGATGAGTTCAATGATACCAGAATATTTGAAATTTCCACACTACTCTCGAATAGATTCTCATTGCCATCGATTTTATTTACAAATATTAAGATTTCGATAATATTGTTACAAAAGGCAAGACCTATCAACAAAAAATTTGATTAAATTATTAGATATTTTACAACAAAGCCCTCAGGCTCAATCAGTAAAATATATATATATATATATAAAAAAGCTTTTTCCGCAAAAGTTTGCCGAAAATCATATATGACAGCCCTAAACTTGAGCCTGGTAAAAAGAAATCGTGGATACAAAGACAATAAATAAAGAAAAATGCAATAATTCATGAAAGACAATTTTCCAAATGCGCATTTATTTTGGACCAAATAAATGACGAAAACTGCAAAGATTTCACTGCAGAGAATGAAAATTATTTCGCCAAAGAAAAGAGAAATTTTCTATGAAACAAAATTTGATAAATGCAGTTAACTTATAATATTGTCAGTGATTATGCTAGAAATTATTTATATTATATATTATTTATATTATAAATTGCCTGTTCCTTTTTTCAGCAGAATTTACCATTTCTATTTGATTTTTTCCATTGACTATTGCAATGAAATATAGAGAGTATTTACCAGAAACCAGAGAGTTACTTGGAAATAGAAGGAAGGCCCACACTACGATCATTCTTGCTGTAGACAGTGGTCGTCAAACTGGTCTCTAAGGATTTCATGGGGTGCTTGGAAGTTAATTCGAATCATATATTTTTATTTGAATGGAAACAAATTTCTTTTATTGATTATTTTATACAATTAATTCATTCAAAACTCCTAGGAGGAAAAATTTAAATATTTTAAAGTTTGAAAATGTTGCAGTGGAGGCTCATGAATTTTCACCACATTATCTATGAGGTTAATGGAAAAAAAAGTTTGACGAACACTATTCTAACTCGGACTTCATTTTTAATGACAGATTTGCTCTCGCGGAGGAATCGATCCAATGATGCTTGACAACAGCCGAAACAACACCTCACATAACTTTTCTACCGAAACCTTTTTTTTTATAGAATAGTTAATAATTTTTGTATAAATCATCAGTACCATTGCATCCAAGAAACATAGCAACAATAGCTAAAAGCATAAGAGTAACAGATCGATCTCGAATCAGATTCGCATTCAAATTTTTGGTTGCACGTGAACTCCTGAAAAGTACCTTCTACTCTAATCGAAATGCCTTCAGTTTTATAGTTAAAAATAGAAAATTGACATTTAATTTATTTGTTGTTGAAAATAAATAGAGAAATGTTATTGTGCAAAAAAATTGCAGTAAGTTTGAGAGACCATTGACCCGGTGCAGTTTGTTGTCAAAATGACCATTTTTATTGTGATTATATATTTATGTATATATGTAAATGTGCAATCAACAATCAAGTCGATTAAAATAAAAGTAAAAACGAGCAATTAGAAGAATTTCATAAGAATCTTTTAAGGGTATTTCTACCTTGAAATTAAGATTTTTGCGGATATAATATGAGCATTGATCATTTGTACTGAGCGTATTTATTGTGCATCCAAACTTTTATGCATGTTTTGTTACGTATGTATTTAAGTTAATATTTATTTATTAATTTATTAAAATAATGAAAAAAGGAAGCTGAGAAATTGTAAAATGATGAACTCAGCGCTATTTAAGTATAAATGTGCTTTAAAATGTTTGGCTTGTGCTGTAGCTGTGTGAACTGTTTCAGAAATTTTCTGCAGTTTTTTATATAAATAATGGAAGAAGAAAAACCAGCTAAATTATATAATTTTTTTTCTCGCAGTGGATATTCCGTAATAATACAGCTAGTTATTTTTTCTAGTTATTTTTATCTCGAATAATATCAAATAATACTGATTTTAAAAATAGCTCTTAAGCAAAATTCAATATTTTGTAGTTTTCCTTGAAATTCGTTGAATTTGGTGCGAAAAAATTAATTAGCGTGAAACGGCTGAAAAGCAGTTTCTGAAAATTTCTCTTGGAAACTATCGGTTACGGAGTTCGCCATCGAAAATTCATCAATCACAAAGGAATTTCGAATTACAAATTTCGTTATTGGAAAAAATTAATTAATTTTTTTTTCTATTTCTACATCGGCCAACTTATGTCAGAGAAATTACTTTAAGGGAATTTAATTACGTTTATTTGGTAAGTAGATTATTCCAACTATTTTTTCATTATTGCATTGCAAGTTAATTTTGCCTTATATATCCTCATTATTCAAAATTTTGTTAGATTCTATTGGAACAAAAAAATTAAGACCAGTGTAAAAGGCATTATATACTTATGCATGAAGCATTAAGAGCGATGCAAAGAAATAATTTTGTTTTTATGCTTATAGCAACAATATAAACGAAATCCTACAGAAATAGCAATTTGAATGAAGTTGTTAGCACTTCAGGCTTAGATGATAATTAAAGACCAAAATGAATAAAGAATTTATGCATGTACCAGGAGAAAGATTTAACAAATCTATAACATTAAATTATTGATATCCTGAATTATAAGTTATTGATATCCTGAATTCTTCAATCAAATTAGAAGTTTTAATAAAACTTAAGACTATTTTTCTCAAAAAGGCAACAACTAACGCATCATTACTGGATGTAGTTGACGCTAGATGTGAACGCCGTAAATTAGTACTTCGTCGTAGTGCAATTACTATCCGACTGTTGACAATTATGAGTATAAAAAAAGGTATGATGAACATCACTAATGTATAAGTGATAACTTTCATAATAATCCCATATGTATGGTCCATTTGTAATTCAGTCAATTGTATATGCCTGAAAACAGATCCAGATTGCCTATGTTGCTTCAAATTTTAACTTGAATCTTTATTGTCATCAACTTCTTAAAAGCTATTCAGTTCAGAAAACTTTCACTTTTTTGTCAATTATTTTATTAAAAAGCAAGTTAGTTTTTAGTTTCGCAAGTAAGTTTTACGACAAAGTGACATAAATGCAATTTGTATTGTATACTGTACTTATATTTTATATTCTTGTTTATAAGACAAAATTGTGTTAGCGAAAATGCTGTTTTGTCGCAAATATACGAAATGTGAGGGATGATATTAATGCATTTGAAAAAATATTAAGAAATTTCTGGGATACCTTGATATCCGTTTAAATTGAATACTATAACAAGGAACAATGGTGAGTTCAAGCCAAGTGGTTGCATTGATTAATATCGAAAAAATAATTGAACCCATTATGGCACAATGCACAGGTGATCTATAGCGATTTTAGTTATCAATTTCATTCGCTCGTGAATTTGAAATATTTTTAAAGAATGTGCATTAAAAGAAAGAAAAAATATAGAATGAATAAAAGCTCTGGACATAAACATGAACTTTTATGAATTCAAAAAAACAATTAAACAATTTTTTTATTCCAAAAATAGCGAGAGTAATCATGAGTGCAATAAAATAAGGTAAAGCACAATGCATATGAAAGTGATTTAATGCAAATTAATATTTTTTAGAATTTTTAAAATAATATTCATAAAATTCGTATTGATGAAACAAATTATGAAACATCTATTTTAAGAAGTGACTTAGTGGTGATCACCACCGAGAATTGAGAATATTTCAGGTTTGAATCCGGCCAATGCTTCGTCAGATGACAGTGACGAAAGCAAAGAGAGGTGAAATGGCTCAATGGGTTACTCAGTTCGAAGCTCAGTTGCTGAGATTCTATGCCCAGCAGAGATGAATTACGCTAAATGACTAATAAAATTTGTCTAGACTGATAAGCCAGCGAAGCAAGCCTAATCCTAACCAGCAATGATGAGGTTTTTAGGAAAAAAAGAAGCAAGATTTTAAAGAAGTTTAAGATATTTCGTCTCAAAGATAACTGTTTTTGAACAAATTGCAAAAAAATTACTTAGTAATCCATCTTTTTACTCTCAGTGGATAGCAAACTGCAAGAAATCGATGTACTGAAGCAAAAACAGTTAAATAGACTCCACAAGTATGGGCAATTCGAGCTAATGGATAATTATATCTAAATGAAAAAATGATATAAATAATGATTTAAATGATATAAATAAATGAAATAAAGTAACTAATTCTTCAGAGATTCCTCATTTCTTTCTTAATTTTCTATTCTTCTCATTATGTACGGTCACATTTGATATTTTTGATATAAAATGGGAAATAAGCCAACAACCGGCTAAAAATTCAGTTGAAGGAAATCGTTGAAGAATTTCCTGCTCAAAGTTCTAGCTCTAATGAAAAAGCCGCATTCATTTTCTATTTTTCACGATTAGCAATTATAGTGAAAAAACAAACCTGAGAATTATTGGATATAAATAGTGAAGATAAAATGAATCGGATAAAATGGATATGACGGGGAATATCAAGAAAAAAAAATTAAATAAAAGTAATAATAAGTCCGAAACAGTGATAGCAAATAAAAAATGATTTACGAGAGATGATCTCATCTTGCCATCCATAAATACGAATACATTGATGGCATTTGATATCAATCCTAATATTGAAATAGGTAAATTACCAAATAAACGATAATCCATCTGATCTTTTGTAAATATTCCCGTTAAGCAGACTGATATTATCGATTCGTTCATTTTGCCTAAAAAATTTTTGCCAAATTACGCAAAGAGACGAGCTGTTTGGCCGGACTTTAACACCCAGCACTATATTAGTAAAACTTAAATTACAAATAGAGATTTTCTGTAAGCTCTTTTCAGAAAAACGATGAATTATCCACTAAGTTAATCCAATATTTCAGCAACGCATTCATTCCATAAAAAATATAAAACTAGTTAACATATATTTAGACATATATATTTAGCATATATATATTTGACATTTGGACACATTTCCTAAACTTTTAGGAGATTATCTTTATCAGCGAATCTTTAAACGTTTCTTCTAGACGATAAACGGACAAAATACATTTTCTGACCTTTCCACTCAATTATTCTCAGGGAAAAAAAAAAATTTATAAAACAAAAAGATAAGATGATATATAAGAATGACTGAGCATAATAACTGATAATATAAGCAAGCAAAAAATTGCGACTATAGCAATCACTGCAAAATTTACGTATAAAAATATATAAAATAAACAAGAGATCATGCAGCCGGATAAATAGCTTAATATTATATATATATCACAAATATATAATATATATCACAAATTCTCAATTAGAACTTAATCCGATTATTTTTTAATTATGGAAACTATGCAAAAGGAAGGCTAGTGCGTTTATATTTACACGAAAAAAGACTGATATATGATGTGCGAGCAAAAATTTCGGCAACTGTGCACTCAAATGCATGCAACAATGAACGTCAAAAGCTGAATTGATATCAATCCTAATATTGAAACAGGTAAATTACCAAATAAACGATAATCCATCTGATCTTTTGTAAATATTCCCGTGAAACACTAAGTATTTTAAATTTTACATTAGATTTCCCGTCATTTTTTTGAATACATTCTTCGATTAAATACTTAGAATATTCAAATAAACGAAAATTGGTTTGAAACATTTAAAAAAAAAGCTGATCTATTCGCTTCACTACTTTAGCAGTTCAAAAGTGAATGGAAATTTTAAATTGAGCTAAAATTTGGGTTAAAAAAAATCCAACCATTCTCTGATGTTGCCAATGCTTTATTTGTATAAAAATATGCAAATAAAACCAATACTATAAAAAGGCTATTTATTCAGATAAAGCTTAGAGAACTTTGGTCCAAAAATTTCGAAATTTTTTTGAAATGCATAAATTAAAAACTTAGAAAATCATGATTTTATTTACTCACATGAAAAATTTAACTTATTCTTATGCAATAAAATGAGACCATGAGTAACACACCATCCAGGCCACATTATACGTGAAGGAATAAGTTTTCGAATTTTAATTTCAAAAGGGCACATAGAAATATAATCATAAAAAAATAGCATATCGACCAATTAATAAAGTATGTTTTAGCCAATAAATATGCAAAACCTGAATAAGAATTTTGATTCAGCTAAAAGAATTCTAACAAATAGGCAGCTGATGCTAAATGACGTCAACTCATATAAAAGGCAACGAATCTTCTATAAGACATTGGTTTGAACCGATAAAATAACGAAAAAATATTTAGTACCAATAAAAAAACAAACAAAACTATAGCGCATAATACTACTCATGATGAAATCCAAAGTGTCATTTGATGCAAAAAGCAATTGAAAAGCTATTGATTACATTTTTCGGAGTCATTTTCAACAAGTATTTAATAATTTAGTATTTAATTTCAGACTGTAATTTTTATGCATTTAAAAATATTGGCGAATAGGTTGACCTACCATTTTATACAATCAATTGGCGAAAAGCTTTATCCTCAGATTAAAATCTTCGTTATGCACGGGGGGGGGGGGGCTGGGGACCAAGGGAAAAAAAGTAATTTTTTGTGCTATACTTGGATTACTATAACAATTCGTTCACTAAGAAATCGAATCCTAACAAAAGATGGATTGTTGGTATGAAATGATAAACTATTTTTTAAGCATTTCATGTCTGTAAGTAAAGAGCTCATTGCTGGTCATGCTAACTGGCTGTTAACGCTGTTTAAATTTTTGCCAAGGAGATTTGCAATAAAAGCACACATGAGTCGTTAGCATTTTTAATGACAGGTTCATTTCTGTGGCAGAACCGCTACGTCTCAACACGATAATTTCAGACACTATCCATTCTGTCAACCTTCCCTTGTTTCAGGTTTGATAATATTTCAAGTTTTTTGAAAGGGAAATAAATCGTTTAAAATGATTAGAAGAGAAGAATGGATGGCAGACGAATCGAGGCAACACGATTAAGAAAACACACTATTACTTCATGTTTCCAGCAAGCAGTTATTATTCTCTCTTTTTCAACCCTTTTTTTAATGTTCTTCATTACATTAATTTCTGTTTCAAATGTGAATCTGTTACATCCTTAACGAGGGTCTTTTTTTGCCAAATAATATTCCATTAGAAATGTTGTATGTTTAGCATGAATTATTTTAAATTTAAATTTAGTTTTTAAAAGCTACTTTTATTTTAATTAATAAATTCGCAAATATGAACAGATATTAATTGTTATACGAATAATGGTTAAAAAAATTTTTCGTCTCCCTGAAACTATAAGCTAATGATCTGTTTATTTTCTAGAGCAAATATTGGTATTATTTAAGAATGGTAAACAATGTTTCGCTCTTCCTGAAAGAAATGCTAAGCAAGCATTTTATTTTCTATGACAAATACTGGTATACATCAAGTGAATAGTTATGTTAAAACTATATTTCAAGGAGATGCATCTTTGTTTCATTGGATTTTAGCTTTATGCACCCTTATATACCTTGGTTAATCAATCCAATAAAATAATAAATGAATTATAATAATAAATAATAATAAATGTAAAATAAATGAAAAAAATTTCTCATGCATATCAGGCCATTAAAAGGATGAAAAGATATTGTCGAGAGTTAAAATTTGAAAATGTATAAATAACAAAGTAGCTTATATATATGGAAATATGTTAATACGTTATACCTAGCTGTTCACATAAAAATCTGGCAAAAATTTCTTTATTAAATTTTTTCTGACGAAATCAGCTCATCATATAAGTGGAAAAAAAAAAATTTTTGCTATTTATAGAGTCGACCTACATTTGAAGCAATTTTCATAATTCCGTGGGGTGATTTTCAACATAACAAAATTTGTTTGCCATATTTTTACAAAGAAATTAATAAATATTTAATAGATTTTGGTTAATATTAGAATCATTAAATTAATTGGATAAGTCGGTCGATTCAGTGTACATAAAATACATAAAACTGTATAAAATATGAAGGGCATGAATAAGGCGAATTGCAAATAATGCATGCATACCAAGATTAAATTACCATGATTAAATTGAGAAAAAATGAAAATTCACTAAAATTCACAAAAATAAAGAAACTCATTCACAAGATATTTGGCATCATGGCTACTTATAAGAACTTACTTTCTGGAGTCGAAGAGTTCCGCTCACATGAGATTTTAGGGAGTCGATCTGCATTAGAAGTAAATCTCTTTTCCATTTATATTTTTTTAAAAGAAAGAAAATTTTTTTTGCAACATTTCAAAAATTTCCTCAAGTAACCTTCTAAAAAAATATCTGGAAAATATAGAAAAAAATAACGAAGATTTTAAGCTAAGAAATATAAAGCGACCATAAAGTAAGTTAATCAAAAGCAGATGAGTTAATAAATTAGCCATAAACAATAAAAAGCGACTTGAATGTCTTCCATATTATTATACGCATTTTGCTTTTTTATTTTGTAAAAATAAAGGAACATACTGATATTTTTTTAAAGGACCTCCTCATTTTTAATCCATCATAAGGAAATTCTAACTCGATTATGCCACAGGAAATAAAAACTTCCCTCTCTTCCCAAAATAATTTTACTTTATCGCATTCATATTAACAAATGAAACATGAAATAACAATAAATTATTAAAAGTAAAACAAATTTACATTTCTTAATGGTATAATAAGGGACCAGCATTATTAAATAAGAAGGCTCGCCAATATTTAGTAAATCCACAAGCTTTGGCCAAATAATTTGCATTTTTAATAAGGAAGAACTAAGTGATAACACAATCAAATGAAAGTAATATTAAATGGTTATTCAAATAACTTTAACTATTCAGATAATATAAATGGAACGTGTTAGCGAAAAAGGATTTGCTAATTTGCTAATTATAATATAAATTATAATCGAGACAACTAGTTCTAAACAAATTCTTTTTTTTATAAATTTTTCGCGCTCCTCTTGATTTCACAAAATAGAAAAGATTTATAAATCAGTTTTAAAAAATTTCACCTAAAATATTCATTTCGTTAATCATTTCCAATCGTCATGGATAATAGGTATCGTATAGCCTTTTGATTTAGCCCTCATAATTACTGGTTAAACTCCTTTTGCTAGTTTGTCGCACTGGATAAATATGCCAAAGAGTCGAATAGAAATATAGGTGAGACGCCAGAATCATCCGGATTTTTGGACAGGTTTACTCCTGTGGGAAATAGAACCTCAGCATCGGCGCACCGAATTCAGCAATAGCCCACTGAGCCATCCTATCCCCCAGGCCTTGTGATTACTTGAAACCAATGCGAGAATAGTAATTAGGAAGGAAAATTTGTAAATAGAAATTTATTGAAAATTATTGAAAATTAAAAGCTCGAAATATGGTATGATCATTAAAATAATTAATTTTATCATTAAAAAAATAAAAATTTAAAACCTTATAAAATAAAAAATTTATAGGCAAAAGTTCTAGCTGTAAAAATATAGATTGAGTTAAGAAATTGTTGAAGTAATTTTTACCAATCAAGGAGAAAAAACAATAATGAATTTAAAATTTTAATATTCTTCAAAAAGGATAGGTTGATGACAGATTTCTTAAAGATTATTCTTAATAACCGATTTGCTGCACTATATTTCACTACTTTCGGTTTTTTATAAATATTTCATGAAATGAAGACTCCGTAAAAATTCTAAATAATATTTCCCGGAAATAATTAGCTGAGAAACTCTCCTCTTTTCTTCGCCAAAGATAA